GGGTCATAATGTGGTTTTTGTTCAACCCAAAGGTCTGGATAGCCTTACCATGCCTATCTAACATTTCTGAAAGCGCTTGCAAGGCGTCATCATTTTGAACATTAGTATACAAGGGTACCACGTCGAATGATACAGCTACACATCCATTTTCAAGTTTGGTGTTTTGCAAACGCTCGAGGAATTGGTTAGTATTGGCTAAATGGGACGGTATCTTGACTAGCAGTTGACTTGCAATGCTATTCGAAAACCAGGATATTCTATCGGTTAAACCTCCAACATAACTTATTATCGGTCTTATTTCAAATTGTTTTGCTGTCATCGAGCAAATATTATTAGTCTGAGCAAGCTTATGAGTTTTATAAGGCTACAGAATACCGGGCTTGTTGGTGCATTTAATTTTAAGTCTGCTGAGAAGCTTTCACTGAGACCAGCTGACTTTCCTACTATCATCCAGACGTGATTGAGACGCCTACATTGTGCTATTCGTTCTATGTAACACGAGGTAAACGGTCGTGTCACTTGTCTAGACTTTGCGCGATTTGAGATGTAGAATAAAAAGGGGTGGAAGAGAAAGTGACCGAAAGTCCGACAGCCTTGCAGTCTATAAACTACTCATATGTACTAAACGATGTTCAAGGCTCATCCTAGAGTACATCTCCACATATATCATTCATTTTCATATTCGTTTTAGACTTCTCCGGTGCTTTCAAACCAAAGACTTTTCTCGTACTTACTATAAGATAAAAATATTTATTGATACCGGTGAAAATTGTACATATTGCATGCAAACAGCACCTACCAGTTCGTGATAACCCGTTTCAGTAGAGATACAGAGATCTTTTACCACATAGCAAATTTATAAACACAGCTTGCGTGATGGGAAAAAAGAGAACTATTGAGATGAGATATAGTAGTGGGAAGGCGTAGCAACAACAAACTAAATTAATAGGGAACTTTTTGCACTCCTACTCATCGTTATAGCTCGTTCTAGTCGCATTCATTTTCCTCTGTAATTTTTTCAAATTCTCCTTGACTATGCTGTTTGTAGGATTAAGATCAAGCGATTTTTCATAAAATTTCTTTGCTTTCTCAAATTTCCCATTGATATGAAGTATTGCTCCATAGTCGCCGTAAGAGTCAGCACTTGGATGATGGATTTGCAAAGTTTCCAGAATCTAAAAATAAGGTTTGAGAAAACATTCTATAAACGTACTATAAATTGCTCACTTCTTCACTTTTGTCGTATTTGCCCTGCTTCCGTAGGAGTGTAGCGAGGGCTCTGAGCGACTCCATGTGATGGGCGGCAAGTCTGAGAGCGTTGTTGTAGGCAAATTCAGCTTCAGCGACATCTCCCTAAAAGTTAATTTTCTAAAGGTCTTGGAAGGCGCAACCTCTAAAAACTTACGCGCAACGCTGCCGCAGTTCCAATATGGTGATAAACGTCCGCTGACTTTGGCGAGATGGCCAATGCCTTAGAAAACCAACTTTGAGACTCAGAGGTACGGTTCTGCAAGAAAAAAAGGACCATTTTTTAAAATCAAAAATTCTTGTGAATATGCCAGTTGCTGACCTGCTTATTTTTCAAGTAGCCCATTGTCAGTAATGTTGGGATATGTTTCGGAGCGACATAGAGTGCAGTTTGAAATGATTCCTAAACAAGTTTTAGCTGCACTTTTTCTCCACAAAAATTACGATCTTATAATTGATAGCAGGGAAGATGGACTTCTGAGCATTGAAGAGGGCTTTTATCTTTGATTCTTTGCTACCTTAGACATCATGAAAACGAAAATTGACATTCCGTTAGCTCTTAATAAATTCAAACTTGGGTAAAAGATACACCAGATTATGCAGATAAACTTTACTTTTAGAATCAAATTGGTTAAACTCCTTCATATCACTAAATAGTTTCTTTGCGTTTAATGTCCATAGTTCATAGAGATTTTTTAATATCGTGTGACCTTTAAACGTGTCTTCAGATGTTAGAGCATTCATATGACTCTAGTGTTGGTTCTTTTCCAGAAATTTTCAATATCAACGCTACACTCAATTATCACACAAACCTCAGCTTGTGAATGTTGCCCTTGCGCGTCGTAAACTTCTCCCAAGGTATACCATAAAGAAGCCAAGAATGGATAGGAAAGCGGTGCTGCTTCAATGGCCTGGAATTTTTTTTCAATGTAAACTGGTCGATCATGTGAGGAAAGTCAAGTAGTAAAAACTCGTTGACTTTGTAAATATTTCTAAAGTATAAATCTTTGTACTTTTGACACCAAGCTGTTTGATGCAATCTACAAATTGCTTCTTGTAGCTAGAGAATTCTCTGACGTTTTAGGAAGTCTCAGTTTAAACAAACAAATTACGAACCTCTTTGAGAACGCTTCGAGCTGTCTTGAACTCTTTCATTCGGAAGAGCAGCCTTCCAAGCTGGAGCCTGCAGCTGGCTTGAGCCTGATAGTAATCTTTACGTGCCTTCACCATTGAACCATCTAGTTGTGAACACGCCTTCCAAGACGCGATTGCCAGCTGATCATTGCCCATTTCATAGTTGGCAATTCCCAGATTGAGGTGAGCTACGAAGTTGAATTCTCATAAATCTCAAGTCAAAGTCATTCAAGTTTTTACCAGAAGCAAAATTCCTGCGGAAATTGATAGCATTTTCATAACATATCACTGCAGCGGTGTGGTTTTTCCTTTCTTGATACAAAACCCCTCTAAACACAACCCATAGCTTATACTATTGCTTACTATCTCAGGATACAGAAATTTTGGGTAACTTACAAGTTGTACCAAGTGTCTGCCATATTAGGTCGATGTCTTAAAGCATTTTTATAAGCAAGTTCAGCTTCCTCGTATCTCATCTGCGCAGCGAAGACGCGCCCAAGGTTGGAGTAAGCTAATTTATATTAAATTACGTAATAATCATTAATAAAACCCGCCTTCTTCGTTAATGTTAGAAAAATGAGTACCTTTAGGTGGATTCAGGTTTAGCGCGCTTTTGTACAAACTTTCTTCATCTTTCCAGTCACGATTTCTTTGGAACGTTCTAATTCCGTGTAGGGTAAGGAAAAGCAACGCGAGCGACATCGTGAACGTCCTGTCAGCTCTGGAACTAGGAAGGTAGACTCGATAATAACAAAGCTTCGACACTTGAGCCATTATGATTAACTGATTGATAGAAGATGAAGTTAGGCACAACAGTGCTAAGAACATGAGGTTTCACAAATACAAAAATGCCATGTAAACAGAGTTGTTGAACAATTTCCTTATGAGATTGATGAATATCTCAATCTCTGTTTACAGTATGAGTTCTGTAAGAATGAAAGCACCTTGAGCAGCAGGACTTGTAGAGCATCCCAGCAAGAATACAGTAGCCAACACTGGGCAGATATAGAACTCGTTCGGCCGCAACGAAACCAACGTAGCAAAATAAGTTCGACGACGGCAGGAAAGGTAAAATGAGGAAGGAAAGTGCTATAAGCACTTCTCTGGCGATTTTCTGCAATGATTTTAGTGAAATATTGCAACAAACTTATTGGCTTTTTAAAAGCACGAGTCTTCCATATGCAAATATGTACAATCAAAATTGTAAAGCTGGTTACAGCAAAGACATAAGTGCGTGGTAGGTTGCTAGCATTTAGCTATTGTGTATAACCTCTATTCGCTACAGAAATGCACCAAGAGAAACGGTTAGTAATGATGTTTAGCCTAATAATTTCTAAGCCTTTTATAGTTGTAAATCAAACAAATTAGATAAAATTGTTGGTCGATTCATAAAAACATCAAATTAA